CTTGCACTTGGTCAAATGTTTCACAAGCCTCAGGGTCTGTGAACTAAGCCACATCCTCTTGCTGACTTGTGTAAAGTGCTCGCCTCTCAATCTGCAATGAGCTTTGGCAAGGCATGGACGCTGGCTAGCTGGGAACTGGATCTGGGGTGAGACAGGTGAAGTGCTCCAAAAACTAACCAGTACCCTTGAGGAACTTCTCTAGCTCTTTAACGGGCAGCATAACTTCCTGGTTGACCTCTTGCCCATAGGTTATTATTATAAACAAATATCAATCAGTTAGTACTCAAAGAAAGCTTTTTTTAGCTTCACCAAAAGTGCTCTTGAGAAAGCCGTTGATGCTTTTGTTAGGTCCTGTTTGAACTATTGTAATTCACTTTATGTTGGAGTTAGCCAAGCTTGTCTTCATCGTTTATAACTTGTACAAAATGCTGCTGCTCACATTTTAACAAACAATCATAATGAACACCGCACACATGTAATCTACCTCCTCCACTGGCTTCCTGTAAACTTCTGTGGTTTGAAACACAAGAAGCCAGGTTTAAACTTCTTAATCGAGTGTTCTGCATGCTTTTTGTGATGCTCTGCAATAACACTAGCTGGCAGTAGACGTTTATGTTCATCTGTGTAGAGTTTCTTCGCTGGTGTTTTGTCTGCTGTTTGGACCTCTATAAAAAGTATTATAGTGTCTGACCTTATACATACTGTAATTAGTGCTGCTTGAGTATCTTGCTACATTTTCTCATAAAAGCGCATCTTTAAATAGTGTCATACTGAATGTAACCCAGAATAATTTCAAATTAGGAATAAGGAAAGGTTGAAGATTACTAATCTTGTGATGTTGCTATTTGAAAATAATCAAATTTCATCAGCATTTTAGAAGTTAAAGTGCAGAGAAGTACATTAGCGTAGCGTTAAATATGTACATTAGTGTAGATTGTACATTAAAATACATCAATGTCTCTGTTCATTTCATCACTAGCACTGAAGTTACAAACTATCAAATGACATCAGACATGACAAAGTTGACATGAAAGAAGATCACGAGCAGATGAATTGTGTATGGTGAAAAGCACATGGTTTCTGTAAGACAAATTGCAGAGATGTGTATTGAAGCTGTGAGAAACTCTGCCATACAAGGAGGACTCCTCCTATGCTCAGAATGTCCCAGTAGTCCTCCATTAGCATAGAAGAAATAGTATTATATATTTTCTCAGTTTACACTAGTTTAATATAGATTGAAAACAACATATATGTTCAAGTAAATCAAGCTTATGACTTTAGTTGGCATGACAAACTGATAAAAATTTTTACTTTCTTTTTATACTTGCTTCTGCTCAGTTAAAAATAAATAAATAAAATAGTTATATTTTATATAAAAATTTGAATAAAACTAGCTTTTATGTCTTTTTTTAATGTCTGCTTCTACTCAGGTATAGCAACTTTGAATTAGGGTTAAACTTTCTGCAGGGCAGAACAACCTCTGATGCTTGCATAGTGTGCAAAAACAATCACAAATCTAATGTTATATGGACATATTATATATGGATATGGATATATTATTATATTATATTGAATATATACATTATATATATTTGACGGGTTGCGCGGTGGCACAGTGGGTAGCTCTGTCGCCTCACAGCAAGAAAGTCGCTGCTTTGAGCCTCAGCTGGGTCAGTTGGCATTTCTGTGTGGAGTTTGGGTTCATGTGGGTTTCCTCCGGGTGGTCCGGTTTCCACCACAGTCTAAAGACATGTGCTAAAGGTAAAATTATCTGTAATGTATGTGTGTGAATGAGTGCGCATGAATGTTTCCCAGTGAAGGCTTGCAGCTGAAAGAGCCTCCACTGCGTGAAACATTGGCTGGATAAGTGGGTGGTTCATTCCGCTGTGGCAATCACTGATAATAAAGGGACTAAGCCAAAACAAAAATGAATGAATGAATAAATGAAAGAATGAATGGCACTATTTAGTTGCAGTACAGCTACAAGCCATAAAAGTGCCCTTCATAATTCACAATTACATACCCTGTGTAAATCTTCATTGATTTACTCAATATGCAAATGTTCGTAAGTCCAGATCTCATATGTTAAATAACAGGGTCTGAACGTGTCTAGCTATCATTCATCTGTTAATAATTGTGTCTCTGTTTAGATGAACTCTGTGTGAGGGGGCCAGAGATGCAAACCCATTCTGTGATCAGTCTAAAAATGGCTCTTAATGGAGCTGCCACATTACCATGCAGGCTTGGCATCTTCATTTGCTACCACTACAGCAGACAAAGGCCGAAGTGTGTTCACTGCCAAAACACAGACTTCAGCTGACCTGCTGCTGTCACCCTGTAATATCCACCGTGTCCAAACAGCCTCCCAACTTTGGGAAGGTGATTATGCCATTATGAAAACCTGCACCTTTAGAAATTTTATTAAGCTCATTCCACGCTCCCAAATTCCGCACTGGTTTCTAAACAGAATATAGACTTACGTACAATAAGGTTTCACTGAAATATACAGAATGTTACAACACATTCAAAACACCCGTCCACCCACTGATTTTTCCTCCTACGCCCTCTCTCTGGTGCACAAGTTTACAAATGAAACAGGAAAACTAGTCAGCCAATGTATCATACACAGGGGGGAGTCGTATCTTAGGCTGCAACTTCCTTCTCATTAGCTTAATGGAGTTTGAGGACTCAGACTCTACAGAAACAACATGTTAAGAGATACACAAGAGATCACTGAATCTACAATAATGCCATGAGTTATTGTTCTTCCATTCTCGAGGCACTACACGTATAAATCAAATTATGCTGTGACAATGTATTACACCATAGTAGACCGTAACAATTCACAAAAAAGTTTTTTTCGGTTAACTTAATTATAAATAGAATATATGTATAATTCCAACTGGGCCAGTTGGCACTTTTGTTAGCGGATGTCCCAATGTTTCCCCATAGACTTAAAGGTGCAGTAAGTGATCTGCCAAAAGGCTAATCGGTTAGCATATTAGCTTTGGACGACAGGGGAGGGACTGTGTTTCAAAGCCACGCCTCCTGAAATTGTGAACGCGCCCACCGCGACACAACAGCAGACAACCCACTAGTTCATGTCATTCCCCAGTTAGAAGTGTACATAGTGGTTGGGCCGGTGGCGTGCAGGAATTTCACTTATTACTAAGTCACACTTACATGCTATTTCATAGCGAATATTCAGACATGGTAAATTCAGCATGGTAAATAGTAGGCTATAGGGAGCATGTCACTGGCTGTCATTGTTCAGAAATGACCCAATGTGAATTTAAAAGCAGATCCAGCTCAGTTAAGCAGACTAGGCGGAATAGCGCTATTTACTGATGTTTTGTTGTTAAATTAAATATATATCTACATTATCGATGCTGTAAAAGGCCCTTACCAAACTGAAAATAGTCAAGTCAATCTTTCACCAGGAGATTTCAGTGGCCGAACGACAGGTCTGTGCATAAAACCCATTCACAACCCAATCTACATCTGCTACAAAGCCCAAATCTGCATTTGCTGACAGACATATTGAGCTACTTATTGCAATTATGGGAGATGTCGGTCCGACAATATTTAATTGGATGAAAATTTTTTTTGTTTTTTGCCTTATCCAGAATATAAAAATACATATAAACACATTTAAATCATTTACTGTAATCATTACTATTGGACTGTGAAGAGACTCAGCCAGCACAACAAAAAATGCTTCAGAAGACAATCCCCTACTGCACCTTTAACATGGCCCATTGCAATACACTCATCTCACCCATCAGTAACACAGTGTCATAGAGACATGGGGGTGGGCTTATTTGACTCAAACAACCAATAGGCATCTCAATATATTAATGAAGCTTTCAAGCCATGCCCTTGAAAGTGTTTAAACGCCCCTAGTAACTGATTCCATAAACTAGAGCTGTACGAATTTGGAAAATTATAACATTGCGATATTTTATTTTTCTGCAATATATATTGTGATTATAAATTAAAATAAAAGCACAGATAAATGTAAAATAGATTGTGCTTTGTGCTTTTCTGGGAAATCTAACAATATTCAGGCACAGTAATTGAATCAGGCCAGACGTTATGCTTCATAAAGGATTTATTTTCTCCTAAGTGAAAATTCTTTCTGTCATTAATTACAAACACTCCTGTCATTCCAACCTTTAGAACACAAATTTAGACATTTCATATTATGAAAAAGCAATTAAATTGTGAAAATTGTGAAATTAAAGCAATAGCCCAGAGATCGGGTCCCCGCGTCAGGTCAGGGTGTGTCTGTCTATACCCTTTAAAATGCGTATGCGGCGACAGAGGCATACTCTAAACTTGCAAGGAAGAAAACTGAACTAGTGGATGACATGAAGGCAAGCAGCCTAATTCAATTCATGTTTTTGTTAACTAATTATTTCTAACTCTCTAACTCTCAAGCTCTAAAGGAGAAACTTGCCTTTAAATGAATTAATTTATGAATAATAATAATATATAAATAATATAATAAATACCATCCAATTGTGAGCTGGGAAAAAGCCCACAAAAAGACTAATTTTAAGACTAATCCACAAAACAAATTAAGTGCTTTTGACAAAAAAAGCTAGATTTTATTACACCTTTGATATTTTGACATTGCAATAGCAGTTTTAATGACTGTTAGACATAGTGAGAAGAATAAACCACTATATGACTGTAATTGGTTTGGTTGCTACACTGTAAAAAAAAAAAGGTTACTGCCTTAATTTTCTTAGTTGAATCAAATGATCTTTTCTAGTCATCTAAACTTACATCAGTCATCCTGACAAAAAATAAGAATTTAAACTTTGCAGTACACTGTAGTTGAAACCTGATTATCGTATTACAACAAGTTAAAGCAACATAACAATGTTTGTTGTCTTGATCCTTTTTCATAAAAAAAATCACTGTATACTGTCTGCTAAATAGTTGATTTTAAAACATTCTGAAGGGTATTTAGAAAGACTGAAACCTGGTGTTACCTTGCTGGATGAACTATTTCTGCTTTGGTTGTTGTTGGTGGAGAGGTTAGCGTCCTCATGCACACAATCCAGAAGCCAGAGCAGAAACTCCAAAGCATCATGTTGAGCGTTTCCTTTAAACTGAGAGCCATACTTGGCCACAACACTCTAAGAAAAGAGAAGAAGAATATGTCAGTTAAACGTTTATCTGTATACAATTTTAAAAGAAATCTCATCATCATTCAAATCTTGTTTTTTCTCACATCACCAGATATTCCTAAAGCAATATCACAGTCACAAGTTATGCCCTGTGACCCAAACACAAATGTGATATATAACCATGACACACTTTTGGAACACTAGTTAACAAATCAGATTTGAGGACCAGGACCTAAAAGAACATTGAAACAAAAAGCAAGAACTTAAAATAAGTCCATACATAACTATAACAATTTTAGACACAGCTATTAACAATTATTTCAACTGAATTATATTTGGAAAGTTTTTTCCAGAGTAAAAAAAAAAAAAAAAAAAAGAGTCATTCTAACAAACAGTAAAACGAACATCATCAAGCATTGCGTTGGTGCTAAATGTGATTGTTTTGAGATATACCTGTTATACCTGTTATATTAAAATATACATTTCTAATTTTCTACATATATTACATTTAAGGTGTTTTTTTGTTGTGTTTTTTTTTTTTTTTTTTGCACGTTTGTTATAGGTAAGTGTGTAAGTGGTGTGTTAGAAAAAGTGACTCTTTGAGTTGCAAGCTTGTTCAAGGCAAACACCCTTTCACTAAACAACTGAAGAGATGCCAGTTGTACACTTACACAGGTGGGAAATGAGTATTCAACACATCAACATCTTTCTAAAAAAAAAACATATTTCGGATATTGGTAACAACCAAATAAATTCATAAATGCAAAGAAAACAAAACTTAAGAAATTAAGTTATGTGTAATAAATTGAAATGACACAGAAAAAAAGCACTGAACACATGAAAAAAGAAAGGTGTAGAAAGGCAGTGAAAGCCTAGACAGCAGCTCTCAGTAGTTATTTAGCAACCCTCTGCCCTTTATCACGTAAATTAAAATTAGCTGCTTCAGTCCAACAACTACATTACCAGGATGACTACCCAGAGAGGACATTTCAGAAAGACAATGATCCAAAACACTGCCAATGAAACTCTCAAATGCTTTCAGAGGAAGAAAATCAAGCTGTGGATTTGTCCAGACAATTAACTGACTTTAATTCCATAGAAGATACAAAATAAAGATCAGATTTGATATACGAGACCTCAAGACTTTTTCATGGTTATAGTCTGTGAAAAAAATCCAACCTCAGCAATGCATGTTACTTCATTCTCCAAATGAGAGGCATCTTTAGGCTGCCATCACCATAAAAAATGAAGTGTTAAATACATTTCAGTAGTTACATTTTTATTTATTTATTTATTTATTTATTTATTTATTTATTTATTTATTTATTTATTTATTTATTTTTATGTTTGTATTGTTTGGGTTTTTACCAAAATCTTGTTCAATTGTCGACACCTCGTTTAGAAATATCATTCCCAAGAAAAAACATGACGTGTTCAATACTTGTTTCCCCCACTGAATTTCTACGCAAAGTATTTGGGGGAAAAGTAAAAAAAAAAAATCTTGTAGTCAATGATTTGACCAAAAAATGTCCTTACTGACCCAAACAAACAGGGACATGAAGAAAAACACAATCACCAACAATGTTATCTGAATGTCAAAGTAACAGAGCTGTCCAACGTATGTCTGATCACGTTAATGTCATAATCAGATCATAATAATCTCCTTATTTTCAAAGCACATTTGAATTGATCTGGTTTACAGCCAGATTTTGGGAATCCCTAAACGAAAGCTTCAGTAAGACCTGAAAAAAGGGTTTCTGTTCTGCTACTGTACATATTTCTGACAGCATATTTTAATGATTTATTTTAATAAGAAAAACTAAATTACTCAAATATGTCATTCTCCACACCTCAAATAATATCTAATTTTTTTTTTTTTTGTCTTTCCATGTGGCTCCGGTGTTAGAATAATCAACACAGAATATTTGTTTACAAGATGAAAAACATCTATCACTGTTATGGCGTTTGCTCAACTGTATAATAGAATTATTGTACTCGGAATAGAAAATTCATTCTTCATTTATTCATCCTCATCTCAAGCAAGAACTGGAAGGTTGCTCTTTTCTACACCATTACAACGAATGAAAACTGATTTATAAAAGTGTATTGTATGGTACACAAAAAATTGGTAAAATTGGAAACTGGTCATACAATTTAAGTCCAACCCAAGCTCTTGTTTATGAGATCATGAAATTGTAACCAAAGTCAGTCTTATGAATCATTTCATTGAAGCAATAACTGAATCATTACTAACTAAATGATTAATAACTAAATGATTCATTGATTCACAAATCTGACTGTTCTGGTTACACTCAATGATTTAAACTTCAATCATTAGTGACAAAAGTGACAGTCATAGAATTACAGACAACGACTATAGAATACACAAGATATGTCACTAATATCTTTTTTAATGAAAAGTGTAACGGTCAATATGGTAAATAGAGCCCCGTCTACTAGTACAGGAGCCAATCATTGATCGCTGTATGGCGAATAAAGCCCGCCTTTTAGATCAGGAGCCAATCATTGATCGATGACGACTGACGATTCTCCGGGGAGGGGCTCGGCCCAGATGTGAGTCTCTGCAGATTTTGTGTGATTTGGATGTTTAGAAATGAAACTAAAGAGACAGTAGTTTAATTGTATTAGTGATTCCTAATATAAAATTTAGTGGTAAGCTTGGCAAGCAGTTTTGGAGAATTTGATGTCTCCCTATTCAGACAGAATGCCTGAGCGTACTGCCCGAGAGGCGTTTCAAAGATGGCTGCCGAATGTGAAATTACTTGCCTTAAAGGGACTTTGTTACAGCATACCACTTGCTCACAGTCTCTAAAAACAGATTCTAACAGACATCAACTGACACAGATGGGGTAAGAAAACTGACGAGGTCTGACCTTGTTCCAGCTGTGTTTACGAGCGGTATCATTCAGCATTACATCACTGCAATGTGGTGTCTTGAAGTGCTTTGAAATGTGCGTTTTAATCTTAACCAAAACATGAAGACAGGGTGGGACATATATTAGTTCCTCCCCTTAAAACACAGCTAATAGCATTTCTTAAGAGGAGAGAATCTTAAAAGAAGAATCTTGAAGAGGTGGGACATGTCAGATACTAGACAGCGTTTTTATTGGTCAGCCGATATGATGAGAAACTGAAGTATGGAGTGATCTCAAAAAAATGTTGATCTGTTTAGGCAGAAGTGACAAACTGCATGTTTGAGGTTTATATCATCTAAATGTGAATTTTGACATTGTTTTGGAGCACATTAGATTGTAGATATCCTTAAGATTAGGGGTGCCCAAACTTTTTTAGTATGAAGGGGCAAAAACCAAATATCATTGAGAATCTTTATGACATTTAAGTTGCCATGGGTAATTTTGTAATTTATGTAATAATATTTTAAAATACATAGAAAACATTACTTTAAATCCTATTAACTAATGCAGTATAACTTTATCTTTCATAAATAATTGCAATAAAACATAAACAGTCACATTTATAGCACAGTGAAGTTTAATGCTGAATACACTAGTCAAGTAGAATCTGCCTATGACTTGATTTGCTCACCAAAGTCTCTGCACTGTTGGGTGACAATATGTACATTGAAAGAAAAATATGATTAATTTACACATATTAATTAAATAATTTAATTTCAGCTCAATTTTAACAATAAAACCAACAAACAAAGGGTTACATTAAATATGAACTTATTTTCTTATCAGATGGGATGGCGGGCCAAATCAAAAGCTACTATGGGCCAATTTTAGCCCACGCACCCTAGTTTGGCCATCTCTGCCTAAGATTTACATACTGATACTAACGTCTAAACAGCACGCCTCTCAGCACTGGTTCGAGCCCTGGCTGGGTCAGTTGGCAATACTGTATGGAGTTTGCATGTTCTCCCCGTATTTGCGTGCCCAGATTTTCCTCAAAATCCAAAAACATGCGGTACAGCTGAATTTAATAAGCTAAATTGGCCATAGTGTATGTGAGTGAGTGCAAAAGTGTGTAGGTCAGGGGTGACCAACCCTGTTCCTGGAGATCGACCTTCCTGCAGATTTCAGTTGCAACCCATATTAAACACACCTGCCTGTAATTATCAAGTGCTGTTCAGGTCCTAATTAATTGATTCAGGTGTGTTTGATCAGGGTTTGAACTGAACTCTTTAGGAAGGTCGATCTCCAGGAACAGGGTTGAGCACCCCTGGTGTAGGTGTTTCCCAGTGTTGGATTGTGGTTTGAAGGGCATCTGCTGTGTAAATCATGAGCTGGATAAGTTAGCGGTTCATTCCGCTGTGGCAACCCCTGATTAATAAAAGTGACTAAGTCGAAAAGAAAGTGAATGAATGAGGTTGTAAAGGTGAGTAGGCTTGACAAACCACCTGTAGAATCTTCTCTCTAAAACAAACAAACCCCCCTCCTTTACTGTAGTGGACTGAGCACAAACAGTTTCTTTATATAAATAGCACTTCTTGTGTCCATTGTCTTGTCCATTGTATGTCACTTTGGACAAAAGCATCTGCTAAATGACTAAATGTAACATTGGCTGAGATTGTGCATTTACATTTAGGCCCAGTGTTTTCAGTAGATCACCATCACCAGTAGGGTGATTTGGAGTTTCTGAAATAGTAGCTGGATAACATGGATTGCATTTGCACACAAATATTTCTGCTCTTTATTACTTGTGTGAATGTCAGCATCTGCTTCTTTGTTCTCTGTCTGAAGCCACCATACAAATGTAGATAGCCTATTTAAAACAGGAATTTTTTTTATTTTGTGGTTTATTTGGGGCAATCTATAGCTCTTCAACTCATTCAACTCAGTTCCAATCGATAAAAGAAATAAATTAAAAATGCTGTCTTTACCAAAATTGGATTGGGTGAACAATACAGACATTTTGGTCTGCTTAGCACTCCTCTGCCTATGCTTTGAGATAATTCACCCAGAGCTGGTGCCATAAGGTGGGTATGTAGGCGTCGTATGTATTGTATGTAGGCATGTATGCCATCG